ATTATCATTTGATAACACAATGTCATCATGTGATAACACAATGAATGCCACTGCATACATTATCATTTGATAACACAATGTCATACTGTATACATCATCATGTGATAACACAATGAATGCCACACTGTATACATCATCATCATTTGATAACACAATGTCATACTGTATACAACGTCATTTGATAACACAATGTCATACTGTATACTTCGTCATTTGATAACACAATGTCATACTGTATACATCATCATTTGATAACACAATGAATGTCACACAGTACACATCATCAACAACCTGCATGACATGCTTCAAGTGATTCTGTGTAATACAAATCTTTCCTTTTAACATGTTTTTGGTACTTACCTTCCGTTACTATCTCACCAGATGCGGTCACCGCCTCTGTGAAAACAAATATTAATCGCATATTATTTCCACTAAAAAAAGGACAATTGAACTGAACATAATTCACATGTACATTTCATTCATACACAGTACAACACATCTTTTCAGCAAGCATCTTATTTTTACTTACTTAATTACCCTTTGAATTTATTAAATCATGTAGCTGACACTGTCATACATCATTCATATCATATCTTTGGAGGCTTTCAGTGGGAGATGTGTTAAACAGTCTTTTCCTAAAACAAGATTGTTGGAACTACAATCAATCATTTTGTTAAATTCATTACAACTCACCTTCTGCTCCAACTGTTGTTTCTATAGGAACTGTTGCAGTCTGAGCAGTCGCTACAAAGCAACATCAGAGATTGTATTTGTTAATTATTTAATAGCAGAAATATCAAATCGTTAAAGTCTTGTTTTTGTGCAATTATGTAAGTGAGGTTTTTCAGTGAAACTTGAAAATCTGAGATACATTCTTTTTCATTTTAAGCATTTTTCAATGCCTAATTCAAAGAGGTTTTGTCAGATGCATTAAGGATGTAGTAGATTTTCGTTGGGCAAAACAGAAAAAGTTTGATAAAAATAATAAAACAATTTTTACATGTTATTGCAGCCCTTGCAACACTATCAAAAAATTATGATAACAATAATGTCAACATTAATTACGTCACGTGACTGCTAAGCAACAAAATCGATTGTTCTGCTATTTTTACTGCTACTAGAAAACGAAAACAGTTAGGCAATATATTTTTATGAGAAAAAGAAGACTACAATGTTCTTAACAATAATGTAAAAGAGATAGTTTCTGAATTGTTTGGTTCTTTTACAAAGTGGTGGAGAAGAATTCTGTAATAAATTAGAGTGCTCTCTTTTCACAGGTCAATTAGTAATGA